ATTCAGGGCTGAAGTTTGTAGAGCGTTAATAAATAAGCAAATAAATAACTTTGACAACCCGCTCTGGTCGGTCTTTGTTAATTAATTTAATTATCTAAGTTTAATTTGCATGCTCACTCGATACTTCTACGCTCCGTATCGTATTAACTAATGTCACGTCCTAAAACCATTTACACACAGCTCGGGGGATGCCAGCCGTTAACCGCGAGCAAATAAATAATCAAATCGTACGCGTCGTTGCAGTAACCCGTGAACGTTAGCCGAGCTCTATCCTCGGCGAAACTTATTAAATTTTCCCACCGAGGAGGCAGCGAATTTCCCGCGGTCCCCGTGGGATAACCAGAACGAAACGAAGCAAGTTTGGTCGGAGATCTGGCTGCGATTAAGAATCATCCTCGTGAGAGAGGAACAAAGCTAGCCTGACCGAGGAGAACGAGGCGGATAACGGCCGGAACGAGGAAGCTGGAGTCGACGCTGCGAAACGTGGTAACGGGAAAAGCGCGAAATTCGATGCTGCGAGCTTTTCGCGAAGTGGAGCAAGCGTGTCGCTAAGGGTGGCGCGGGGGGTACAGAGTCGACGGAAATTCAATAACCGGTAAAAGTTTCCGCGGCCGAGAGAACCAGTCGACTATCCACAATTTCTCCCTCTCTCTCACTCTCTCTCTGTCTGTCTCCCTGTTTCGCCGGAAGAAACAGACGACTGGTAGACGGAACGTCGCGAAATTAGAAGCTCGACGATAATTAATCCTAGCCATAGGTGGTCATGAACCGATCCTCGACGAGTTTCCGTTCATCGACGACCGTCTCCAAAATGGCGGTCTCTCGAGAGAGCAGAGTCAATGGGATTTTTCGAGAGAACCAGTCGACTATCCACAGTTTCTGCTACTCTCCTCCCTCTCTCTCTTTCTTTCCTGCTTCGCCGGAAGAAATAAATGATTGGTAGACGGAACGTCGCGAAATTAGAAGCTCGACGATAATTAATCCTAGCCATAGGTGGTCATGAACCGATCCTCGACGAGTTTCCGTTCATCGACGACCGTCTCCAAAATGGCGGTCTCTCTCGAGAGCAGAGTCAATGGGATTTTTCGAGAGAACCAGTCGACTATCCACAGTTTCTCTCTCTTTCTCCCTCTCTCTTTCTCTCCTGTTTCACCGAAAGAAGCAGACAAATGGTAGAGGGAACGTCGCGAAATTAGAAGTTCGACGATAGTTAATCCTAGTCCTAGGTGACCACGTATCGCCGATCCTCGACGCGTTTTCGTTCATCGACGACCGTCTCGAAAATGGCGGACTCTCGAGAGCCCCGAATCGACGGGACTTTTCGTCCCGACGCGCAGCGAAGAGAGACGAGAGTTGACCCGAATAGCTGTAGCTGTCCGTTGCTACGAGCGACTTTAATCCCGATCCCGTTGAGATTTCACGGAACCGTCTGCGTGAGGGGTAGGTATCCCGGGGCTGAAGGCAAGCTAATTTCCATAATTGCGTTAGGATTCGAGATGACGAATAGCCACGGTGTTCCAGGGGACGGCAAAGCTTCTTTCGTTGCGGCGGCAAGCCAACTGGGACAGAGGGTAACTAGTCGGGGATGAAGTTTCGTTTACCGGCTAGGTATAAAGCGAAATGCGATTACGGTCGGTTAACGTTCTCCGAAAGTGAACGAAGGTGCACTCTGGCTTCCGTGGCCGGGCTGATGGTCCGGACAGGCAGCAGCGGAATCGTAGTTCCCGAAATTAATCTACCGCGAAACGTCGACGACACGCGCGGGATTAGCGCGAGAGGGTAGCTCGGTGATCGAGCGCACCCATCCCCTGGATAGCTGCCCCGAATTACGTAATTCCCTTTTCGGCCGAATATTTCTGCAATCGGAGAGATAGGCGGGACAAACAGCCCGTGGGTAATCTTATCTGCGTCATACAACGCGATATACTCGCGCACGCCGTTTCTTTCGTACGCGATAAGGAAACGCTGGGAATAATCTCGGGTCTCGAGGCACAGGCGCGAATAATTCGCGAGACTTTGATTATCCGAAATTATTTCGGCTGGCGATTATTTCTCGAGACGATGGCGTTCGAAAATTCCCCGGCTTCGGGACGGAGAGGGTCGTTGCGAGTGTTGGACGGGATCGAAGGGGGGCAAAGGGGACGATGGAGAGGCCGGAGGAACTCGGGAGAAGAATTCTCGCGTGGAGTGGATTTTCGCCCGCTCGCTTGGAGAACAGAAGAAGCGGAAAGTGGGCGAATCGCGGTGGGGAAATTAATTAAAGGAGAAAGGAAGGAGGCACGGTTAGACGCGATTTACGGCGGCGCAATTTCGTGGACCAGGCTCGCATCGGCAGCCGAAGCGTGTCGAGAAGCACGGCGTGACCCACTTGCTTAAACGCTGGCGAAATAATATTCCGCTTGGAAGGGAGAGTCGGCCGTTTCCATATGTACAGTCGGCTGCAATAATGCCGTCCGCAGACTCCATTTTCCTGGCCCACTCTCCTCGACCGCGCTTTCCTGAAACGAGGCTGGCTGCCGCTCCGCGATCGATCAGCGGACGACGGCTGCTCTCCTCGTAACGACCTTAGTAAATAGATAGATCGCGCGATAAATTGCGCCGTTAATTTTTCAATAGCCACCCGCGCCGACGCGCCAGCGCGTGTGCGATTACGCGCGACCCACGAATTCGTCGACGTCGGGGCCAGACTCGTTTAACCATCCGCGTTAATTAATATCTCCTTTCGTTTTCAAACTCTCCGCGCTGATCCGCGTAATTAGAAGAGAAAGCTTTGTCCGAGTAAATTAATTCATCAAGGACTCGCGTGTAAGCAGATTAACGCTTTGACTGCCACGTTCGTCGTATATGACCCGTCATGGTTTCTCCCGTGACGCCACGGTGGTCATTGGTGAAAATACAATTGCAAAAATTGACAGTCAGTAGACTGTCAACCGTTACCAGGGAGCCACGGTGGTCACCAATAAGGTGACTGTCAATGAGATAAACGCTCCATTGGGTAAGAGTGTTGTCTTATATCACCAATTTATTCTTATTTTGTCATTATATGCTTTAAATAACAAAAATACTCCGATGGCGTCCTGAGCGAAACACGTGATTTCGGCGTGACAGTCATGGGGTTAACCCTTCGCTAGACGAGGACCCAAACTTCTGTCAACTATCTCGTGCTGATTCGAGCTTAATCGCTACAGGATGACCATATAATAATTGCCTCGAAATATTTATGAGAAAGCTTTCCTTCGTCGCGACAAGAGCTGCAGTCTTGCTATGCAGAATTCAGCGATCTCCGCGAAAACTGTCAATAAGATAAACGCTACATTGGGTAGGAATATTGCCTTATATTACCAAATTATTATTATTTTGCCGTGTCGACCTGAGCGAAACATGTAATTAACATGTAATTTTGACACGACAGTCAAATGGTTAAAGCGTTACTCGTCCAATTTGCTTCGAGTCGGAGTAAATGGAGAACCTCTTACGAATTCTCTAGCGTGGTCGTTGCTTCGAATTTTTTAAAGGAGCATCTCCGTTCGAGGAAGTTATTTTTAAGAGGATTCCGGGTAAGAGATGTCAGGGAACACGAGCGATCGAAGAGCAACGTCGGTAGCTGTAGGTACGAATCGAATCCGCGGCGGGTTGCTTTGTAATCGCGACTGGCACACAGGCTGAGAAGCACCATTAACGTGCATCGTGCAACGACAAACGACGATGCACCGTTGCAATCGTGGCACTTTGTTAATGCCAGACGTATACGGGACGGGAAGCTTTGATGATTATTGTTGGTCGAATAATACGAGCACGCGCGAACGGTGATGGCGGAATGGAAAAGCTTTCGACGGACTCGCTGTCACTTTGCTCGCCATTGCGCGCTTTGTTTCCTCCACCCAACGAAATACCTTTTCCCATGACGAATACGTCAGGAAAACTGGCCAAATTCCGTGATAAACGGAATTATTCGAAAATAATTCCGATATCGGTCCCTGCTTGATCCGCATACCCATTCGCTGTCAAACGTCGCGAATTCGTTAATTTTGCTACCCCGCGAGCTCACCGACGCGCGCAATTAATTTAGCTCCCTATAATTTCGTTCTCCCGTTCCGATGGCGTGCGAATTTTTTCGCGAAAACTTGCACAAAGAGATCGTTCGACGAAATGGCGCGCGGTCGTTAATGACAGGTTTTTACGATCATCGTCCATCCGGCGTTACATCGACGGTCTGCAGACGGTCTGCGGTATCTCATCGGCGCGGAATTTACATGTTAGAGCAAAGAGTCGAGCGCACCCACATGCCGGCCGGGATAATTCCATCCCTGGGCCGCGCACGTAACACGTTTGTTCTCGCGAGTCGCGCGCCGCTACGTGACTCATGCGGTACATTTTGAAACACGGTCACGTTTTGGCAAAAACAATGCAGCTTATTACCAAGTGCAAGCGTTCCCGGGAATTCGTCACATCCGTTCGTATGCTGGATCGTTCCCGGAACGTGATTTCCAGGGCTCTGTTTCTAACACCGAACCGCTGAACCGACGGCTGCCTGTAGTTGATTTGTCCCGGTGTATCCCGAGGAAAGAGCGATGGAATGCCGTTTAAACGAACCGGCGAACCAGCGTGTATGTACATACTCGTGTGTACGTATGGTAATCGTGTGGTCGGGTTAGAAAAGATTCGCTCGAGAGAGCCCGGAATCTGGTTGTCACTCTAAAAATCGTCTAGACTGCTCGGGTCTAAATTAAAGAAAAGGTAAATGTAAATATCGACGAGGAATCCAAGTTCGAGGTCGAATGAAGGTCGAATTATCGTCGATCTAGTATAGTTAGAACGTTATGGTTAATAACGTTCGAAACAGACCGCGAGATTCTTTCGCGAGTTTGAAAAGTGCAAACACGTTGAGCGGAATGTTAATTTGGCATGACTCACAGCGAGATAAGAGGGATAAGATGGCGGTAGAATAAACGAGACGATCGAGACGACGAAGCGATTAACGAAGGGGTGACTTTTCGCAGGGACGTACCAAGGACAATGGTTCCACGGAATGAGGCAGGGGTACGGCGTGAGGGCGAGCGCGCCGTTCGGTTTGGCAAGTCATTACAAACCGTCGAATCAAGTCAGGGCTTCCTTGACATCCTTGAGGAGCGCGGACGACGGCGGGGCTGTAGCACCGACGCCGGAGCCGACCGACAGACGGGATCGTCGAATCGGTGACAGTAGGGGTGGCTTCGTGCTGAAAGCCAGGAGCGACAATCCGCCGACAAGAAGAAAGAGCCTGACGGAGAAATCCCTGAAGAAAGGCATCCTCTCGGTAAAACGCCGCTCTAATCCTGTCGTTGAATATTTGATGACTTTTTCTTAGCAGAGGATCCAGCGGAATAAGATCTCCTCGGGGTAAACAGCTAAGGGATGATGGCAATTTTCAGGGACTGAAGATCCGAAAGCAGAGAAGCACGGGTGATCTGGAGAAACACGACACCGGTGGCAGTATTAGGAGCAACGTAAGCACGGCATCGTGGATGTCGACGGAAAGCTCGCAGACTCAGGTTTCGGCATCCGTTCATACCGACGAAGCGTCCTTTGTCATCGAGGTAAAATTCCACGCGTTGCTTTTTTCCTCGTCGCTGACTTTATCTCCTTTATCCGGCGGCGAGAATAATTTCTCGGTTTTCCCTCTGCCAGGAATATAACCTTGGTCCCTTTTCCAGGACGAGCAAATGGATGCCTCGGTAACCGAGACGTACTTGGGAGAGTGGAAGAACGACAAAAGAACCGGCTTCGGTATATCGGAGCGTAGCGACGGTCTGCGGTACGAGGGTGAATGGTTCAACAACCGAAAGTACGGCTACGGTGCGACGACGTTCCGCGATGGCACCAAGGAAGAGGGCAAGTACAAGAACAACGTGTTGATCACCAGCCAGAAGAAGAAGCATATGTTCCTCATGAGATCGGCCAAGTTCCGTGAGAGGATAGAGGCTGCGGTGAACGCGGCTCAAAGGGCAAGCAAGATCGCTCTGCAGAAGGCGGATATCGCGATCTCGAGAACGGCCACTGCGCGAGGCAGAGCAGAGTTAGCGGACACAGCTGCCGAGCAGGCTAGAGAGGATTCGGAACTGGCTCAGCAAACGGCCAAACAGTTCGCGCCTGACTTCCGGCAACCTGGCCTGGAGAGGTTACGAAACAGAGAGATACCGAAGTACGTGCCACCACCGCAGGACACGGTGCCAGGGAAGAGCATTCTTCACAAGACGGCCAACGTGGATCAGCCAGGGAGCACGCCTACGAAGAGTCCGACCTCTGACACAACGTCTGGGACGACCACGTCTGCGACATCCACGGCGAGCAACGTGATGCAGTCTATCAGGAGGGCCAGCATGAAGCCGCAGAGCCAATTGTCGCAAAACCAACTGCTGAGCAATCAATTGCAGCAGAATCAGCTACAGCAGAATCAGTTACCGCAGAATCAGCTGTCGCAGAGCGAATTAGCGAATCAGGTGACCCCGGCTCAACTGGTGAACCAGCTACCTCTGAATCAGTTAAACCAGACCACGTTGGGCGGCCAAAATCTTTATCAGACGCAGTACCCTCAGATGGCTCAGAGTCCTATGCAGCAGGTCCAGTATCCTAACAGTATACCGAATCAGTATCAGCCACCGAGCCAGTTCCAAGGCGGTCCATACGCCCCGCAGAATCAATATCAACCCATGAATCCACCTCAGGGCGATCAGTATTTGTATCAACAGCAGCAGCCGATCGGGCCGCAGGGGTATCAGGGCATGCAGGGTTACCCTGGCCAACAGGTGACGAGTTTAAGCGTATCCTTTGCTCCTCTTCGCCATTTTGACTATACCTCGCGAGCACGAAGATTCGCAATGTTGTTTGCTCGCATCTAAAACGTCCAATTACCTTTCAGGCGCTACCGAATCAATACGGGCCAAGTCATATGAATCAATACAATTCCCAGCAGCTTTACGGGCAGCCCCAGCAGCAGCAATTACCACCCCAACCGCAAACCCAAATTCCACAACAGTACCAGCCTGACGGTGTTGGAGATGCACAACGACCACCGAGTTCCTCGAGTATACGAAGAAATAGCAGAGTTCTAACCGCCCAGGATCGACCCAACACTATCGGGCAAACGCTGAACGACAGGTCTCGAGCTGATCGCTTAATCGAGCCAATCGATACGATCAATTTTCCCAAACACTTTACGCCTATTCGTCTACGTAGGACTACAAACGATATCTTCTTAATTCGATCGTTCTGACTTCTCGCTTGCAGGCTAGACCACTATAAGAGGCCGCCCAGCCGGGACAGTTCCGTGGATCGTTACGCCAGAGCGCATTCCCGGTTGACTGGATCGAGACAGCCGTCCGTCGATAAAAGCATCACGAATCCGCCCCAGGACATGCTCGACAGGTGACCAAAACGTTTCGATCTTCTCTCTTAACACGTTGACAACTAGGCACTCGATCTCCATCCTTTCACTTAGGACTGGGCATGTAATACCAATGCATGTTAACCACTTGCGCTAGAAAGACGTGCCACGCACGTCGTAATGGTTTTATCGCAGAATCGCCTGCGACGTGGCATACACGTCGTCAGGCAATTGTCACAGAAACACTGCACCGTTCTGGCACACGCGTCTGTGAAGTTCTTGCTAGCGCAAATGGTTGACCCTTATCAGTCTCTAGCTTTTTATACGTGATTCTCGCTAGGTTGTAGCTGGTTTCGGTAAATATGCGAAAAATTTCCGTCTTGTCACCTTCCACGTGACGCGTGACCGCAGCGACAAAGTACTATTGTCACGTGAGAGGTGACTTACGACCGACAAGGGTTAACAAATAGGATCATACACCGATAATTCTAAGTAAAGAAAAACAGGATAAAGTACATAGGCGCAGAACAACGAAAATCTACGTGACCTCTTCGACGACGTCATTGTGCGAGTCTCGCAATAAGGAAATGGGGCGAAACATTCGTGTCGCAGTTGAGAGGCGTGGTTCGTGGACAGGACTCGACGTAAACATCGCGGGTTAGACTCACGGTTAATTTCCTACTCTCAGTTAGCGTTATTCTTCGTCGGGTTCAAGCGAAAAATTTAAACGCGTTCGAGCACGTTGGCAGACTCTGTTGTTGCTCATGGCACGCGCCACAGTTTGACCGTGCCTCGGCTTCGGAATCGTCTGGGAAGGTAGAAAATTTTCGAGGAAAGTCGTAGTCGGGAAAGTTTTAACGTTTCGATCTATGGATCTAGATCAACGAGAGCACCGAGCGTGATGCGATCAGGCACACCGCTGAACGGATCCGTGGTCGGAAGCGGCGCCGCAACGCCAACCTACGCTGCCTCGACTTCCGGCCAATTCGAGGGCGCCCTCCTGAGGCACCGTAGCCTTGGACAGGACATTCTGCCGAGTCCAGGACAGCCTAAGCGTACAGAGAGCCTCTACGTCACCCCCGGACGCGGCCCGACCGCATTCGGCGGTGGTGGAGGCGGTGGCGGCGGAGGCGGAGGCGGAGGCGGAGGCGGTAGCGGTGGAGGAGGAGGAGGAGGAGGAGGAGGAGGCGGAGGAGTCGGCATGACGAAGGTGAGTCTTCCTCTTTTCGTATTTATCGTCCACCATATAGATATTACATTCGCATACTCCTGTCTCTCTACTCGTCACGCGACACCGACGTCCTTGCACTTGCGTCGCCGGGCCTGAAAGGGAGCTGCGGGCCCGTTGGATCTTAACTTAGCTCCTTCGCCGATAGCTTTGTGTCTTCGCGCTTGCGCAATGTCCCGTGAGATCGTGATTGCTCGAACGGAAGTTCGCTACAGTTCGTAAAGACGTATCGCTGATATTACAAGATTTTATCGGCTTTGTGTCACCGTTCCTTTTTTGCTAATCTATCGCATATGGATCAGTGTACCTTTTTTCGACGATGACGTCCATGTTTGCACGGATCAAGGTGGTTCCGAGTATTCTTTGTGTTGAAAGTGTTCCCCAAGATTCTTTGACATTTTCGTGTCTTCTTAGATGTGATATCTGTGTCCCTGTTCATTACGTATAACTCGATGTGACCCCGAACGTACTTCGCTCGTTGACCACATCCTTTCGGGCACGGTGAATTTTGAATGAGCAAGATCCACACGGATTCGCCACTTCCTTTCTGCCCGGTCTTCCCCTTTAGTGCATCATGTCAGGCCTTTGTCACGAGTCTATTATTCACACCGATGTTCCCCGTGCAAGATGTTTCTTCGGGAAACGTCGCAACTTTCTCCGGGGGGTCGCGGCGCGGGGAAAGGGGGAAAGGTGGAAAAGGCCGGGAAACGTTACGAACGAGATGGTTCGGTTTCAGTGGCGCGCAGACCGTGACGATTTTTCGGCGAAACCGCAACGAGACGCTTTTCCAAGAGTGTCGTTCAGAAATACCACCGGATGTTAAACAAGATAACAATCGTTCGCTGTTACTCGTTCATTCACGCTTCCTGCGTGAACATTACGAATTTATAGCCAACTATCTCACGACGAAAGAGAGATAGAAAGAGAGAGAGAGAGAGAGAGAGAGAGAGAGAGAGAGAAAGGAGGAAGAATGAGAGAGATTTCTCATGAAAGGAAATACCTTTGGGGCGACGTAATCATTTAGACGAGCAAAACGAACGAAAGCAGAATTTCACTGGATTTTCCGATCGAGCCCACCCCCTCCCCCCCTCGCCGTTATAGTCTATTTTTCCATCTCTTTTACGACGCCATTACACTTTCGATTCTTTCCTTTCCATTCTATATACGCCATTATATCTTCACTCTGCCTGCTCATTAGACGCATCGTACGATTTTTCTCTGCCCGATCTATAGCGTACGTAATTACCATACCTTTTCTTTTTCTCGCATCTCGAATCCCCGCTGTATAGTCTATACATCTAGCCACTAGTTAGCGAACGTAATTAAGAAAGCACCACGATTTTACTTTTCATTTTTTCTCACTTCTCTCCACGATCAGTATACGTGCTCTTTCGTCTCGCCGATCAACTTTCTCCACCACGTGTACGAGCTACGATTTCTAGCCGAGCGTCATCGTTCTGCAACGAGCAACGTCAGCCATCTTACGTTCACCGACTAGCATCCACTTCTTCGATCTCTCGACGCTTCTCGATTCGCCTTTTATTCACCACCGAGAAACCGTCTGTTACCTACCCACCACCCCCGAGTCACACGATTAATCACGTCTATTAATCACACCCCCGACCCCGATCTACCCCCATATCCCGACCCAGGCCACGGGTTTCTCTATCTGTACCCTTTCTTCTCTGTCGATTTGTTTGTCTGTGTAACTGTGTGGCATTTTGTGCTGTGTTCTGTGCATGCCATCCCAGGACGCAGGCCGGACGGTCCCCGCCTTCGCCGCAACGTCAAAGGGCCGCGCAACCCTATGAGTATAAGTATTATAATAAATATGTACACACACACACACACACACATACACACACACAGTGCGATAGAGACGAAACGACGCGAGCTGAGCTATCGCCACCGCGTCGCGTTTCATAGCGAATGAGTCGAGGCCAGTTTAAGAGTGGCGGCGTTCGTGACTAGACTCTGGATTCCTCGCAGCGAGAGAACAAAAGGGGATGCTCGAGGGCTGCAAAGGCAGACGGTCGCCTTCTCCGATTCTATCGCGGCTCGACAACCTGGCAGCGTCCACCGATTGCCTAACGAAGCCAATTTAGGGGGGTTGAGATGCAGATACACCAACGCAGTCGTTCAGACTGACGTTAGCCTAGACATTGTCACCGAGTTACAGGAATTACGCGACACAGGGTGTCACCGCTTGCATGCTTCTTCGCTGAGACACCCTAGCCGAGGATCTAGGGTCTATTCGACCGACGCTAACTTACACGTAGTCTCTCGAGCTTCGACGAACGATGCAACTGCATTTACATTCCAGCCTCCATCGACCAATTACTACCCGATTCGTTCCAAGCACATTCCAACACGCGTGTCTCGCGCGATGATCCTCGTAGTCGATGCTCCCCAAAGTTGTACGAATTCACGCTTCCGTCGACGTGGTCCAATGAGCAGCGACCGTGCCTGCGACGATTTCGCTTCTAGCCCCAGCGTTTTCGGATCGATCGAACATGCAACCCGCTGGATGTTTGAACGGACTCGACTCGTTTGGTGCGCGTGGTATTATAGGGTCACGGTTTAGCGAACGGGTATCTCACAGTTTACACGAGCATCCTGAGCGACGTGTTAACGGGAACCGAGACCGGAACCGTTGTTTGGTATGCGTGGAAAAAGAAAATATTTTCAGATCCGACCATTTAGTCTCAACGAAAGCGATCGCGTGTGTGCCAGACAGGGGCATTAGGGTAAGGTTATAGCGAGAACGATGCCGCACGTTCGCGTCTCAGCGAAAAGGGTATACGCGTAAGGCAGAAGCAATAGCTTGCGCAACTGTGAAAAATGGACGGAAATGTGGGAAAAGCTGAGACGTAGGAAATGGCAAATTTTCGGATGATCGAAATTTTCCGTTCGTCCCGGAGAGAATGATTCAAAGCGTACGGATACGTGAACCTACGAAGCGGCCCTGAGTCACGGATGATCACGTCCGTGGGTTGAATGTATCGGCTGGTAAAAATCCTTGGCGCAAATTGAAAGGTGTTTGCCGTAGGAAGGTTCTGTTTACCTGGCTTCCTTCGAGCATAAATCATCGCGACGATATGATCGCTCTTCGTAGCCTTACCCTAACAGCGCCGGGTCTCGAAATTCTCGAGGTGTGAATTAGCAAAGAAGAACTCGTACCTGGTCGTAGATTGTTACTAGCTACTATGTAGATAATTCGCGTTGATGATCGATAGCCAGTTAACCCTTTCAGTCCATGGTTCAAAGCCTCTGGTCCGCGATAAACGGTTTCCTCTTTTCGCCGGTGTCGACGGGAGGGCGCTAGCGTCGCGAGGAGAAGCTCGCTCTTTGGGATCGAACGTGGTTATCGCGGCTGAAAGGGTTGAATCGAATTTGGGCATTGAACGAAGCGAGCAACGTTCTTTCCGCCTTCTCGTCAGAGACAGAGTTATTTTTCTATGAGAAGCACAATAGACGTAGTGGAATGGATGAACGAATATTTATGAGAGTTTTGTCGGGCGACGCAGACGATCTGTGCTCGATTTGTCGGTATTGCGGTTCGTTCGACCAGAGAGGCTTCCATGGAACGGCAACGACGCGACAAAATTTTCCGTCGATCGGGGTAAACCGTTCGCGCCGACGTGGAAATTCTCGGCGAAACGCAATATCGAGCAAAGTTGCGCAAGTGCAGATACGAATGCGAAAATATTTATGCTGTTAACGTTTCCAAAAAAGAGAAAAAAAAAAGAGAGAAAAGAGTACAGAAAAAAGGAAAGATTCGCTTTAATTCTACGCGCTTTCGCGTCGATTACTCGAG